AACCACTACCTTGTTTACCTCTGACTATAAAATAAAGGCTCAGCTTGCCTCAGGATCTTTCTCTGTGGCCTCAGCCAGGCACAGGAAGATCCACGGAGACTAAAGAGAGCTAGAGAGTTCTGAACGCTGTCTCCGTGTAAAACATTCTTCGCCGACTCCGTCCACACCTTTGGGAACCCCTGGACTCCCGGGGCTGGACCCCGGCATGTATTGTTGTCTATTTCTCCCTTAAAGTCCTCTAGAAGTTTTTTTAAATATATATAGGTGCTCCTATATTGGGTGCATATGTTTACCAGGGTTATATGTTCTTGTTGGATCGATCCCTTTAGTATTATATAGTGACCTTTGTTGTCTCTTGTGATGGCCTTCGGTTTGAAGGCTATTTTGTCAGATATGAGTGTTGCTACTCCAGCTTTATTTTCTTTTCCATTTGCATGGAACATTTTTTTCCATCCCTTCACTTTCATCCTGTGTGTGTCTTTTGTTCTGAGGTGGTTCTCTTGTAGCAGCATATAGTTGGGTCACGTTTTCATATCCATTCAGCTACCTTATGCCTTTTGAGTGAGCATTTAATCCATTTACATTTAAGGTTATTATTGATAGGTGCTTATTTACTGCCATTTTAAATTCTGTATTTTTCTCTCTCTATTTCTCTCTCTATTTCTTCTCCTTACAGCAGTCCTTTTAGCATTTCTTGTAATGCTGGCCTGGTGGTGATGTACTCCTTTAGCCTTTTTTTGTCTGGGAAGCTCTTTATCTGACTAACTATTTTGAATGATAGCCTTGCTGGATATAGTAATCATAGTTTCAGATCCTTGCTGTCCATTACCTTGAGTACTTCATGCCATTCCCTTTTGGCCTGTAGAGTTTCTGGTGAGAAATCAGGGTTTCAGCCTATGGGAGCTCCTTTGTAGGTAACAGTTTGCTTTTCTCTTGCTGCCTTTAAGATTCTCTCTTTGTCTTTAATTCTTGGCATTTTAATTATGATGTGTCTGGGCGTGGGCCTGTTTGGGTTTTTCTTGCTTGGTGTTTTCTGTGCCTCCTGAACTTGTGTGACTTTTTCATTTACCAGGTTAGGGACATTTTCTTCAAACACGTTCTCTATTCCTTTCTCCCTTTCTGCCTCTTCTGGCACACCTGCTATTTGAATGTTACATTTCACGTTGTCCATCAGCTCCCTTAAGCTGTCCTCCTGTTTTTTAATTGTTTTTTCTTTTTGGTTTTCTGATTGAGTAATTTTTTTCAATCCTATCTTCTAATTCACTGGTTTGATACTCAGCTCCCCCTAATCCGCTGTGTATTCCTTCCAATGTGTTCTTTATTTATGTCATGCCATTCTTTATTTCTGTTTTCATAGTTACTATATCTTTTCTCATGCTATTGAGCACCTTTACCATCATTACTATGAACTCTGTATCAGATAAATTTTTTTTTTGTCTGGGAAGCTCTTTATCTGACTAACTATTTTGAATGATAGCCTTGCTGGATATAGTAATCATAGTTTCAGATCCTTGCTGTCCATTACCTTGAGTACTTCATGCCATTCCCTTTTGGCCTGTAGAGTTTCTGGTGAGAAATCAGGTTTCAGCCTTATGGGAGCTCCTTTGTAGGTAACAGTTTGCTTTTCTCTTGCTGCCTTTAAGATTCTCTCTTTGTCTTTAATTCTTGGCATTTTAATTATGATGTGTCTGGGCGTGGGCCTGTTTGGGTTTTTCTTGCTTGGTGTTTTCTGTGCCTCCTGAACTTGTGTGACTTTTTCATTTACCAGGTTAGGGACATTTTCTTCAAACACGTTCTCTATTCCTTTCTCCCTTTCTGCCTCTTCTGGCACACCTGCTATTTGAATGTTACATTTCACGTTGTCCATCAGCTCCCTTAAGCTGTCCTCCTGTTTTTTAATTGTTTTTTCTTTTTGGTTTTCTGATTGAGTAATTTTTTTCAATCCTATCTTCTAATTCACTGGTTTGATACTCAGCTCCCCCTAATCCGCTGTGTATTCCTTCCAATGTGTTCTTTATTTATGTCATGCCATTCTTTATTTCTGTTTTCATAGTTACTATATCTTTTCTCATGCTATTGAGCACCTTTACCATCATTACTATGAACTCTGTATCAGATAAATTTCTTATCTCCATTTCATTTATCTCTTCTGGAGAATTCTGTTGTCCTTTCATTTGGGGGCTGTTTCTTTGCCTCCTCTTTTTGGCTGCCTGATTAGGTTTATGACTATGTATGAGGTACATCTACTACACTTCTCAATCTCTAGTGCAGGACAGTGTCAAACGCTGTTTCTGACTAATTAGATCAGGCAAAGAGTCAAAGCCTCCAGAGACTGCCTCTATCTACTAGTACAGACTGATAAGATTTTGTCTTGAATTGCTCTCAGGCAATCGTCCACAGGTATGGGAAGAGTTTTTTTCAACAGGGTGGGGCAATTGCTTCTATCTGGAGGCTAATTGTTATTCTCAATTTCTTTTTTTTTTAAATTAAATCTTTATTGTTCAGATTACATTTGTTCCTCTTTTTTCCCCCCCATAACTCCCCTCCTCCCAGTTCCCGCCCCACGCTCCGCCCTCACTCCCCACCCACTGTCCTCATCCATAGGTGCACGATTTTTGTCCAGTCTCTTCCCGCATCTCCCACTCCCCTTTCCCCCCCAAGAATAGTCAGTCCATTCCCTTTCTATGTCCCTGATTCATTATAATCACCAGTTCATTCTGTACATCAGATTATTTATTCACTTGATTCTTAGATTCACTTGTTGATAGATGCATGTTTGTTGTTCACAATTTGTATCTTTACCTTTTTCTTCTTCCTCCTCTTAAAGGATACCTTTCAGCATTTCATATAATACTGGTTTAGTGGTGATGAACTCCTTTAGCTTTTCCTTATCTGTGAAGCTCTTTATCTGACCTTCAATTCTGAATGATAGCTTTGCTGGATAAAGTAATCTTGGTTGTAGGTTCTTGCTATTCATCACTTTGAATATTTCTTGCCACTCCCTTCTGGCCTGCAAAGTTTCTGTTGAGAAATCAGCTGACAGTCGTATGGGTATTCCCTTGTAGGTAATTGAGTCTCTTTCTCTTGCTGCTTTTAAGATTCTCTCTTTGTCTTTTGCTCTTGGCATTTTAATTATGATGTGTCTTGGTGTGGTCCTCTTTGGATTCCTTTTGTTTGGGGTTCTCTGCGCTTCCTGGACTTGTAAGTCTATTTCTTTCACCAGGTAGGGGAAGTTTTCTGTCATTATTTCTTCAAATAGGTTTTCAATATCTTGCTCTCTCTCTTCTTCTGGCACCCCTATAATTCGGATGTTGGTACGCTTGAAGCTGTCCCAGAGGCTCCTTACACTATCTTCGTATTTTCGGATTCTTTTTTCATTTTGCTTTTCCGGTTGGGTGTTTTTTGCTTCTTCGCATTTCAAATCTTTGACTTGATTCTTGCGCTCCTCTGGTCTGCTATTGGGTGTCTGTATAATATTCTTTATTTCAGTCCGTGTATGCTTAATTTCTAGTTGGTTCTTTATCATAGCATCGAGGGTCTCATTAGTTTTCGTGACTCTCTCCTCAAGTTTATTGACAGCTTCTAGCACATTTTTGCAAGCCCTCAAAATTGCGATTTTTAGCTCTATATCCTCCATTTCTGTCATGTTTTTTTGTCTCCGCATTTTTTATGCTTTCTTGGTGCACCCCCTAGTGGTCTTTGTGCGCAGTCTTGTTCTAGTTGAGCCTTGATTGTTGTAGTTAATACTAGAGGGATTTGACCACCAGGCCGACTGGCTGTGTGAATCAGCTGTGTCTGCCGCGGAAAACTTCTGTCCTCTGGGGGCTAATCTAGCCTTTGCCTGAGGCTATCTGGCAAATGGCTCTGCGCAGGGCTTGGGCGGGGCGGGCTCAACAGGGCGGGTGGAGGGAGCGGTTATGGCTGCCCTCAGTCCCGTTCCCAGAGGCTCTGCTTCTCAGAACCCCAGGAACCGCTGCAAACCTCGGAGAGAAAGCTGCCTTCCAACTGATGCCAGACAATCCCGCTTCTCCCGTTTGAGTCTGAGTCCCTAGAGACTCGCCCGTATCTGGAGCTCAGAGTCTGAGACTCCCTCCTGATTGAAAACGACAACCTCGCCCTCAGCCACCTGCCCGCTTTGCGGGCGCACCTCCGCACCTTTGTATTTTCCACACTGCGCCTCCTCTGAGCCTCGGTATGCTGTTCTCTTTCCTTCTAGTTGAAGAGTCTCTCCTCAGCCAGCCTTCCTGTGGTTCTGGGTGATGTCCGTTCCGTCTTTTAGTTGTATTTTTGAAGTGGTTGTTTGCGGCAGCAATCTCCGGTGTTTACCTATGCCGCCATCTTGGTTTCTCCTCTATTCTCAATTTCTTAATGGGCCTCAGCTACTTAGCTCAGTGGGGTAAGGGGTTTTCCAATAGGGTGGTGTCTTTCCCCAGCCAAGGTCACCTATATAGCAAATATCTGCATGAGAAAGATGACCAGCGAGAGGGAATGACTCAGCACAGGAAACTGGGGTGTCTGCCTTCCGGGCTCTAACCTCAGAGCCCCTGATCCTGGCTTTTGCTGACACAGTTTTAGTCCACTCTGCCTTACCATATGCTCGAGCACAAGGTGAGGGGCTTGACAGGCAATTTTGTGTGTTGGCCCTTTAAGAGGATGCCTGAATTTCCAGTTCTCTCTCCCTGGCAGACAGTAACTCTGCAGCTTTTCACAGCCAGATGTTATGTGGGTACACTTCTCAGTTCTGGTGCTCTCTGGGCCCAACAGCTCTCAGTGGCAACCCCCCACAACTGAGATATCTCTCCAGAACCTCAGTTGCTGTCTGTCAGAGCCCGGGCAGCCTTTCACACCCCCACTCTCTTACCAGTCTCTATGCGGTCTCCATTTTCTGTCCTCAGTTATCAGGGTTCTCTCCAGTGAGTCTTCCGTTGACTATTCAGGAAGCTTTCTGTATTTTAGTTGCAATTCCAGTTTGGTCCTGCGAGCATGTCCGTGCAGCATCCACTTACTCTGCCGCCATTTTAAATCTCTGGGCAATATTCTAGAGCTGCTGGATCAAGCCTCACCTCAAAGCCAGCTAACCATTGGACTTTTCATCACATGAATCAATGACTTCCTTTTAAACCATTTAGGGTTGGATTTTCTGTCCCTAGCAACTAGTCTGGAAAGATTCCTGACTAAGATAGGCATGGGAGGGGCTAAGGCAGGGGTGGGTATCGTGTGGCCCATGAAAACATTTGGTCTGGCCCTGCCAAGGCATTAGGGGTGAGTTCATTAAATGTTTGACCAAATATAGGCTAAGTTTTAAGTTGATAATTTTGCATGGCTCGTGAATGATGTTATACATATCCAAATGGTCTTGGGCAGAAACAAGGTTCCCACCCTTGGGCTAAGGCCCTGGGTGTGTGGATCCTTAACTGTCATAGCCCTAGGATCTGAACCGTCAGGCTGGCAATCTGAGAAGCTGGTCCACTCTTAACATATTCTTAGCCTTGACTCCTTAGCCTGTGTGACCGAGTGTCCTCCAGCACAGCTGGCAGCTCCTGGGTATTCTGGGATAGAATGATAGCTCAGATTTTCAGGGACAGTTGCATTTTTGTGGGATGTGTGGTCTCTCAAATTAACAGGGCCATGTGTTCCGACATTCTTCTATTTCCTTCTGTCCTGGTCCCCAGTTCTTCCTGTGCATCGGGCAGAACAGCAGGGGGTCACATGCCGAGTCCCAGCAGCCAGCAGGCCAGAGGCCAGGAGTGGGGCACCGGGCTGGGCAGACCTGAACCAAACCCATGCTCTTCTCTCCAGATGCAGGACGAAGCTGCTTCAGGAAGGACCTGGTGGTGGAAGGTGATCAGTGGAAGACAATGGGCAGAGGGCAAACACAGGGGCCTCAGGAGGGCCGCACACTGTCCTGTGCACGTGTGCTCGGCCCACCACCATTAAGGACATGAAAACTACTACAGCAATGACGAGCAACTTGGTAATTCCCAGCCAGGGAGAGGCCATAGGCATAGCCATATGCACTCAGGGCCTTTGGTACACCAAGGTTTTGGGAGCAATTTAATCGAATCAATCAGAATTTACCCAGTATTCTCACTTCTAGATGTCTACGTCCTGACATACTCATGTGAGTGCAGAGAGACCATTGTACTCAATTGTGGCGAAGCAAAATAATGACAATAGTGACAACAGGGCCCCAGTCTGCCACAGGGGCCAGTAGAGAAACCGTAACATGCACCTGCACTTAGGAAATCAAGATTCCTTTGTAAAGACTGACGGGAAGCCCTAGCCAGTTTGGCTCAATGGATAGAGTGTCGGCCTTCCGACTGAACGGTCCCAGGTTCGATTCCAGCCAAGGGCACATATCTGGGTTGCGGGCTCGATCCCCAGTGGGGGGCGTGCAGAAGGCAGCCGATCAATGATTCTCTCTCATCATTGATGTTTCTATCTCTCTCTCCCTCTCCCTTCCTCTCTGAAATCAATAAAGAAATATATTTAAAAAAAAAAAAAAAGACTGACGGGAAGAAGTGCCTGCCCAGCAAGGTGCTGAGTGGTGGGGAAAGTGTGGAACCACCTGTGTGTTTATTTGGGAGAACCAGTATGGGCAGGTCCAGCCCTGTGTAGTCCCAACTATTTCTTTGGGCTCTGCTACCCCTGCTCGAACCAGCTGGCCAGGCTGTAGGGCCCATGGAGCCACTCACAACCAGTGTTCAAGCCCACTGCCATTTTTTTTCGATACTTGCATGTGTTTAGGACAAAACTGCTGTGGTTCTGACTCTGAGACTGGTGCTGGGTTTCCCGACCAGAGAACTTGATAACTCCCTCCCTGTCCCCTTCCCGTGCCCTAGCTCCACATGCCCTCCTGCTCTGAGGACAGTGCAAAAGCTGGGTGCAAACCTCAGCTCCCATTACTTATGACCCTTTGACCTCAGGCAAATTACTTCATTGCTGTGGGCCTCGGTCTCTTCACATGAACAGTGGTTTCATGTCAGAGTGTGCAGGGTTCTCGTGCAGTTTCAACGAGATCGTCTTTTTTTAAAATTTAATTTTGTTTTATTTCTTAAAGTATTACAAAGAGTATTACACATGTCTCCTTTTTTCCCCCCCTTGACATTCCCCTGGCCTCCCC